CACTATGCTTTCCGCTCCTAAAACTCGACTTTAAAATTTGCTCCCTAAAATTTTACATTGCTTTCCTTCCCTGACACTTTCCTTAAAACCTGTCTCTTTCTAACCATTTGGTCATTTGAACTAGTGCTCCTTTTGGAGTTCAGTGCCATTTTGCCTTATAATACTGTTCTGAAGTGCCTCAGGACCCTTTGTCACAGTAAATTCTCTACAGAAATACCAGGATTTTTTTTAACTGAGGATATGAAAGATATTGTACAAATAAATATCTTCTTTCAAAATCATAAAATCAGAATGAAGTTCTTCTGGGATAGTAGGAACTGCAGATGCTGGAGAATCTGAGATAACAAGGTGTAGGGCTGGATGAACACAGCAGGCCCAGCAGCATCAGAGGAGCAGGAAGGCTGACGTTTTGGGCCTAGACCCTACTTCAGAAATGCCCCTCCTCCTATCTCTGGAAAAACCTCAGTGAATCTCTCTTCCACTGCAACTCTCTCGTAATCTCTTCGGCCTTGAAACTGCTCAACCACGTCCTGAAGCAAACCAGGTACTACAGCCACATCACCTTTCTTAGTACCTGCCTACGGAACCAGATCATCCCCAATGGACTACAGTCCACATTCAGGCCTTCCCAATTTGGCCCCAACCGTGACAATGTCTACATTCAGAACATTGAGATCCTTCAGAAGCGTTTCTCCCTGCGACTCCTGAAACACACACTTGCAGCAATGCGCCGGCATCTCCTGGCACTATAATCAAGCCTACCCCAGCTCAGTGCCTCCCTCTCCCAGACCTGCAAAGGACCTCTCCTGTTTTTTATTCCATTTCTGAAGAAGGGTCTAGGCCCGAAACGTCAGCCTTCCTGCTCCTCTGATGCTGCTTGGCCTGCTGTGTTCATCCAGCCCTACACCTTGTTATCTATGAAGTTCTTCTATTTTTAGCTAATCTGTAAAGTCAGAGTTTAATCCACAGACATCTGCTTTCAGCTGGTGATACGGTCACGTTAGACAACCTGAGCACTCCTGGGCAAGAGTGGTACAACCCACCTTCTTTTGCACAAACGCATCACTGTCCAGCAGCTACCCTGGTTTGCAATGTATATATTTGGGCATTGGTTGAGGGCAGTATTTGTTTTCATTGTGATGCCCCAAGGTGAGCAATGGGCTACTGCATGAAAAGCGGCAGCTTAAAAAGTAGAAAAGGCATTGAACATAGAACAGTAAAGCACAGTACAGGCCCTTCGGCCCACGATGTTGTGCCGAACTTTTACCCTAATCCTAAGGTCAATCTAACCTCCACCCCTACCTTCTACTATCATCTATATGCCTATCTAATAGCCGCTTAAATGCTCCTAATGAGGTAGACTCCACTACCCTCTCTGGCAATGCATTCCATGCCCCTACGCTCTCTCTGAGTAAAGAACCTACCTCTGATGTCTCCCCTGTATCTACCTCCACTCACTTTAAAACTATGCCCCCTCGTAATAGCTACCTCCACCCTAGGAAAAAGTCTCTGGCTGTCTACTCTATAAAGTGTATATATTCTATTGAGTGCCCCATTAAATCATGCCCAGCACAACTGGGGAGAAAAATGAAAATTTCAGTGGCCATCAGAGATGGCATTTTTGTATTTTGAGAATTATCTCTAATTTAAGTAAATTATGCCATTTCCTCAAAGTTCATGAGTGCCATTATTTTTTCTTTATTACTTTTCATCTCCTTCGGAGAGATGAGAGTTTGTGGGAGGTTACAGAATGTGCCATTTATATTCTTCTTTTGAATTCATGCTTTGTTATTGCAAATAAGTTTTTTGATTCTCAAATAATTTTCCTTCCTGACGGAAAGCTATTTCCCTTATTATACCTTGCAGTTAAATCAGGTCCTGAATTCTGCAGCAATGACAATGTAATTGTATGCTGTGTCTAGCAATTTGACGACCACTTGTTATTAATTATTACCACTGTATTTATGATCAAGACCACAGCACTTCCCACAAACATCATGTGGATGCGAGAGAATGAGTTAAATGCTGTAGTTGGATCTCCAGAGTTCCTGATGCCATCTGAAGCCTGAAATTAAACTATAGACTTTTAAACCGTCTTGACTGCCCGTAACTCTGGATGAAATACGCTAAAGCAGGAAATTATTGTACTTGGGAGTTCTGTAATTTTTTTAAAAAATGCACAATTTTTTGATTTTTGCTTTCGACCCAAGGCTAGTCCTCTCCAGAAGGGTTGTGTAGAAATGGGTGATTTCTGTTCAAGGTTGTTTGTCACATGATGCTGTAAGAAATGTGCCACAGTTGATGGTAACGTGGAGAAAACGGTACATTGCATTTAAGTACCATGTCATTAACTTTAAGACCCAAACACTGTTATAACCAACACTAAAGTGACAGTCTCCTTTCTTGGTTTTAAAGATCTTAAGTATAGCATGTTATGAGAATTTTTCTAGTGGATATAAGATGATGTCCATAATCAAGTAGAAACTCTTCCTTTTTATTTTTCTGTGTTTTTCAATGAGGAAGGGAAAAGAACTCTTGTAAAAGCCAGAGATTGTTGAATCAATCCTGCACTTTTTGAAAGCAAGTTACCAGACTCTCATCGCAACTGCTTGACCCAACAGTTGTGTAAGAGGCAGTGGGGAAAGCCTAGTTACAGATGATCTGGGCCATTTGTACAAATGGAGCTTCAGCCAGTAACATGCATCTGATTAGTCTGTGAAATAGTGACCAGTTATCAGTGACAAAGGCTTCTTGCCTACCAACAATTGTGATTGGCTCCTAAGTAGTGAACAGCTTCTGTTGTGAATGTTCAGGTCCAGATGCTGGAAAGGAAGAAGCAGTTTTTGATCTGCAGTAGAAAACACTTCAAGGCTGAAGATAGCCAGATTGTTTACCCTTTATTAAATAAAAACCAAAAGAACTGTGGATGCTGTAAATCAGGAACAAAATCAAAGTTGCTGGAAAAGCTCAGCGGACCCGAAACGTTAATTCAGTTTTTCCCTTCACAGATGCTACCAGACCTGCTGAGCTTTTTCAGCAACTTTGTTTTTGTTTGCTGTTGCTTTTAATCTGTCACTTAATAAACCAGAGATTTTCGTAAGTATGAATCAGTCACCCTGTACCTCCTGCAAACAAGTGAAAATACTTGGAAAAGGAAGATCAACAAGCAGCGTTCTGCTCAGCAAAAAGGTCATCTCAGTAAGTGCTGTGAATAGGGACTATTGAACTGCCTTCCCAGTCTTTCCACCTATAACACCCAAAATCTTTTGTGTCTCTGCACCTGTCCCTGTGCATGTATAATGGGGATGGTTTCATAAGTGGGGTAGAGGTTGAACTTGCAGAGTTGTACGTCAGTGGTTCATAATTGGTTATCTTTGGTTAGAATTCATTTATTGTAATAAGTAATAATTCTTGTTGTGTCCATACTTTCTGTAGATGTGTTTCTTTGCTGGAGGATTGCCATGTGTATGTCTGGACGGGATTTGCTTGATTTCTGCTGTTGCCTTCCCAAATGACAGGGGGACAGTGTTGAATTTGCCAATTTTTCATGAAGTGGCTGAATCTTTCACTCATGAACTGAGGGCCATTATCACTTATGACAATGTCAGGAATGCCATAACTGCAGAAGTATCCTTTTAGGTATTCAACGACAGCTGCTGAAATTGTCAAAGTCAACTCATCCATTTCCCAGTTGTCAGAATAGTCATCTGCTGCAACAAGATATTCAGTCCCTGCGAATGTTGAGAGATCTACTCCCAGCTTCAGCCATGCAAGGAGAACTAATTAGATTCTCTCCCGTTGGAGATAGTTATTACAAAAGTTGCAGCTTAGTGGACAACGACATTATATATTAGATTTCGGAACTGCAAATCGGGAGATTAATTACAGATCAACTGGTCATATTGCAACAAAGAATCTATTATTTCAGAGGACAATGCAAGGTTGGTTAGAATTTTGGAGCTAGTTCCTATTCAAGGACCATAGACTTTCAAATAAGTAATTCAGCCTCTTGCCTGTTTTATTGTTCAATCTGAGAACTGTTGAAATAATATCATTTACCCACCTCATCACTTGATACTCTTACCTGACAAAGCAGTTCTGAGGCACTGAATAGCCAAGGTCCAATCTTAAGTTTCAGCCTCCTCATGGCAGAGGAAATACTTTTTCATGCTCTCTACCCAATTGAATCCTTTTTTTTAAACACCCTGATTAAATCGTTCCAAGGTGTATGATGCACAAAGCAATAAAGGTCAAGTTTATGAAACCTGCTCTCAAAGTTGAAGCCTTTCAGTTATTGTAATTTTGATCTCATTCTGTTGAATCTGTACTGCACCTTCACTAAGGCTGTTGTAGCTGCCCTGAGATGCAGCACCCAGAACTAAAGGTGAGCTCTCTCTGTCAAACTGAATTGTCACTTCTTCTTCTCTGTATTTCAGGCCTACTGAGATAAATGCAAATATTCTGTCAGTCTTTTTCGATATTTGTTTTCTACCTATCTGTTAGTTTTAGTGAACTGTGTACACTGACATCTGAAACTAATGTGGAATGGCTTCACATTTCCCCACACTGAGCTCCATTTGCCAACTGTGAATCTGTTAGTTGCTTTTTAAAGTTCTGCTCCATCTGGGCAGCTTATTGTGCCTCCCATTTTGATGCCATCTGCTAACTTTGATGTATAATTCTCTATCACTTCATTTGAGTCCATGTGAAAAGCTGAGGCCTCAGCACAAGTCCCTTGGGAACACTTGTAGCCTATTTTGTTCTACCAAGTCTGCTTAACATACAACCGTGACCCTTGGTAGTTTATTACTACAATTTTCTTGTATAATGATGCTTTGTTAATAATGTCTTACAGTCATCAGTAACAATTGATCTTTTTATTTACTATGTTTCTCATTTGTAAAAATTTTTGTTCCGATACATTTTGTGCACATTATTTCATAGTCTAAATGTCAGAAATACATTTCCTTTAATTGGATTTTCAAAGAGAATTTCAAAGAATATGCATTTTAAACACAAACACCACAATAATGGAGTGCAAGACTTTAGAGAGTAAACACTGAAAACCCACATTCCGTAATAACAAACTGATGAGTGCTGGCATTGCCACAGACATTTCTGTACCAAACCACAAAAGCGTTTGTTGTATCATTTAAAGTAATCTCAATTTTATCCTCATAATTCTTTAACTGATTTGTTTGCAGCATCTGTTAACCAATAATTGTGGAGATGCATGAGAGAGAATTGTATATTACTCATAGCATTAAATATAACTGTCTGTGTAAGCAAAATCAAAGCTGAGAAATGGTCATTGAGCAGATCAAATCCATTCTGAGGGAGGGTCACCTAACCTGAAACATTAGCTCTGATTTCTCTCCACCGATACTGCCAGACCTGCTGAGCTTTTCCAGCAATTTGTGTTTTTGTTTCAAAATCTAGTTGTCCCGTTAAAGCTTCCAGATGCCTTGATGCTTTGGAGTTAGCAGGTGGAATTTTCCTGCTCTAGGTATGGCTTCTCAAAGTGTTCCTGCCACTGATTAAGTTTCCCAATGTTAGGAAAGGAAACTTGTCAGCTTTTTGCTGAATGGCCCAACAACTCCAACCTCCCTAATGGGCCATAGCTGCACTTTAAGTATTTAAATGTTGAGGAGTGAGAGGGTGCCTCACTTACCTTCCATTGGGGCCTGCTATCCCTTTCAGGCTGAGATTAAAAATTAATTTGAAGAAAAATGAAGCCCTGCATCAGTCTGTACTCCAAGAAGAATATAAGCCTTCAGGCATTGTCTTCGATAACACCAAGTTGAGGAACCTCTCTTACTTGATGCCATTGTTGAAAAGAAAGTGGATAATAAGCTTTCTACAGCAAATAGTGCATTCTGCAAACACTACAAACAAATATGGAGTAACCACAGCCTGAGAACACAAACCAAACTCAAAAAAACTACAAAGTCATTGTCTTCAACCCTTGCCCTTCTAGCTGGCACCAAGCCCTAGGTAATTATATTGCTTTCGAGAGCGCTTCCATCAGTGTTACATCTGCAGCATCTTCACAATCTTCTGGCAAAACCACATCACAATCATTGAAGGCCGGGAAACAGCTCATGTCACCAGCATCAATGCCATCCTCCTGCAAAGCCAATTGCATTGGACGGATCGTGGTGCATAGATGAATGCCAGTCAGCTGCACAAGATTGGTCAGTTCTCTGTACGGTACACTTTAAACAGAAGGGCCCCATTCAAGCATTTCAAGGACTGTCTGAAGGGGTCCCTCCCTGTGCACCACATCAACCATCACCAGTGGGCAGCTCAGGTCAGGGATTATGACATCTTGAGATGCTGCACCAAGAACGCTACAGAGACTGAGCAAAGAGCCAGCACAATAAGGAAGGATAGATCCAGCTACAGTCTTCACTTGCACCTTCTGTGGGATAATCTGCCAGTCACAGGCCTGACTAACCAACCTCCAACCAATGAGTACATGCCTCCTAAAATCATCTTCTGTGAAGATATGTCGTGAGAGATATTGACCCAGGAGCTGGTTACTTTATTCGATTTCTGCTTTCTGGCTGCAGACAAGAGGTTATTGCTGTTTGTTCGGAATACACATTTAAACCTGTAATTTTGTTATTTGTGTTGTGAATAAAGCCCTATGAATAAAATAATGTAAATAAGAGTACTGAAAGTTCTTGACTGTGTAGTAGCTGATTTTTGTTTATTCTACAGTCAGATGGTCTGGTAATCCATTTTGTTACTAGTCCCATAGGAAAGACATTTTATATCCAAATGGAATGTTCACTTGTACTTCATATATTTGGAGTATCTTCCTTTTTTTTTGCTACGTTTATCCCTGGTATATTAAATGAAAGGTAAAGTAAAGTTGTCATAATCCTACTGTACCATAGGGCTGCTGCCTCATTAGAGACAGAAAGAACTGGTGGTGGTTTAACCTAAGGGTCACCGTGCCTCAGGCAAGGTGGTTGGAGGTTGAGAAGGAGAGTTCTTCATGGTAACCTCGGGTGTAGTACAATATTGAATATTCAGATGAGGAATGTTAATTATTCTTATATGTACCATCCTAGTTTTCAAAATTTCATAAACATTAAGGTTAATGGAATAATTTGATTTCATCAGTTTCTATCAATTAGACAGATATCTGTTACTTTGGAATTGATTTTGTGATTTACAGGCTCTAGGCAGTCATTGTGAAATTTGTGAGTTCTTGTCCGAATCATTGGATGGGGATAGGTGTGAGTGGGGACAATCCAAAAATTGGCAGTCCCTTCATTATAGTTCAAAATGACTCCATCAGTTTGGATCTTCACTCTACACAGATCATTTTTTCAGGTCAGAAAGAAAAACATGGACAGAAGATCAGAAAACTGTAAATATGTAAATATATGCTTTTTGTGTGTTTAGGTTTTGACTGCGTGTTTGTCATTGGTTGTCTTTGAGACTCTTCTGAATGTAACTACAAGTTGCTGGTGAGTAAGCACTTCATTACCTTAGTATATATCGATTTTTATGCATATAAGTGTGACTGTGGCACAGAGCTGATTTACTTTTTCTTCTTGCACTGAAAAAATTGCAATGCTACCTATCATTTTTAAATCTCTTTTTCTTTATACATGCTTTTATCACAAACATATGTAACAATATATTGCCACTCCGAGGAGACCACTGGACAATAGATATCCATCATACAAATTTTGTGGTATTCCAGTGGTGCTGATATATTTGCCGGAACTAAATTGAATGCTCAAGAGAGGCATCAACTCTGTACAGGATCTATTATCTGACAAAAATCTCACAACTATATGCACTTCCTGTTTACCTTCCTGTTTTCTCTGTGATAAATTTGTTGGTCTGTAGCACCAGAATCTGATGGTCCAAACCTGTAGCAGTATGATTAAATTCTCCTGCTAGAGAGGGAAGTACAGGTCATGGACAATTTCTATTATAAATGTAGAAAATAAATTATAGTGGCAATACAAATACAGAAAATCCAACATTAAATTGAATTAAACTGAATTATATTTGTGTTACACCTTTCTTGTACTTTTTCCAGCTCTATTTGCATTGCCTTCACCCATTTTGTAATTCAATTCATCCTGCTTTCCACCCATTGCATGCATTTCCTTGAGTTCTTTATACCCCCAACCTCTACTGACTCTCTTTTCCCTGTCTCTGTACTTAACTAATAATACCTGTTAAATGCCTAAGTGCTTTCCAGCCCTGTCGAAAGATCATTGATCTGAAACATTAGCATTGTTTCTCTCCCCGCATATGTTGTTTGACATTCTGAGTATTTCCAGCTTTTTCTATTTTAATTCCTTGTGTGTTGCGATACAGTAATCTGACTCTAGTTCACATCGAGATTCATGTGAGGGCAATGGAAAGGGCTCAGAGATTTGCCAGAATACAGCTAGAGACTTCAGTTATGTTGGGAAATTGGAAAGGCTAGGATTATTCGACTTATAGCAGAAAAGGTTAAGGAGAGATTTAGTGGAAACGTTCAAAATTTTGATAAGGAGAAAATATTTCCACTAGCTGGAGAGTCGGTAACTTGAACACAGGTTTAAGATAATTGGGGAAAGACCCAGGGGAATGATGGGAAGATTTCTTTTTACGCCAGTTGTTATATTCTGTAAGAGCCTGAAAGGAGGATGGGTTTCGATTTCAGTAGTATGCCTCAAAAGGAAATGGCATCTCTCTGGCCATCTGCCAGGGTCTGGTTCTCACCCCTCCCCAATGCTTTTTGCCCCACCTACCCCTCCTCTTCCCCACCTCCCTACCACTCCTATCCCCTCCCCCTTCCACCCACCCATGAGAATGGGATGGTGTGCATCATCTGAGTTTTTATTTATTGGTAGAGCAGCCTCTCAAAGAATCTGATGTTTCCTTTTCTGATAGCCTACTTCTGTTATTCCTGCTATTTCCTATAATTCTTGTCCGTCTCCAATTCAGCTGTTTTTTACCCCACCCCACCCCCGGCACATGCTTTTGATCTCTCCCTCCAGTTGTCCCCTTCCCCTTCCCCTTCCTATGCTCCTCTCACTCCTTCCAAATTCTTCTCCTGTCCTGCCCTCTTCAGTCTGTCTTTTCCCTCCACTCTCCCATCCTCCTCTCTAGAAATGGGATTTGTAAACTGATTTGGAATTCAATAATATTCTCTCAAACCAAAACATTGATAAGAACATATTCAAACATGTGCAAAGTCAACCATCAGTAATAATGAAGATGGACTAAGATTTAAAGTTCCTTTGTGGTTAAAAGCAAGCAGTGTTGTGAATCATACTTAAAGTGGGAATTCGCAGTGCAAACTGAACTGAGCAATCTCTGATCAACATTCAGATTGATAGTCAGACTTCAGATCATGTTTTAAAGCATTCCCACTACAGGGGATATTTATTTAAGAAATGTGGGAGAAGGAAACCAGGGAATTATAGACTAGTTAGTTTAATATCTGCCCTTGAGAAATGGATGGAATCTATAATTAAAAATAGGACGACTGAAGTTTCTCAGCTGATCAGGGATAGTCCATATGGATTTGTAAAGAATAGGTCATGCCAGATGAATCTGATTGAATTTTTTGAAGCAGTGACAGGAGAATATCTGTGGATGTTATTTATAAGGACACCCAGAAGGCAGTTAATAAAGTTCCTCATAAGAAATTGCAATCTAATGTTGAAGTTTGTGGAACTTAATACCTGGTTCAATAAATTGCCTGAGTAGAAGGAGACTCAGAGTAGGGATAATGGGTAAGTATGAGTGATAATATCCCACACAATCTGCATTTTGTTCCAGCTTTTCACTTGTAATTTAGATAAAGGGACAGAAAGCCACATATCCAAATTTGGCCATGCCACAAATAAAGGCAACGTCATAACTTCCTATTTACACTTCTTACAAAGGGATGTTGACTGGATTAAGTGATTGGGGGAAAAAGGTGTGGCAAATAGATTTTAATGCAAGCTTTGAACCTAAAGATAGAACATGATACCTTCTGAATTGTGAGAACTCAAAAAGAGGGATCCAGAGAGATTTGGACGTACGGGTACACAGACTGTTTAAGGTATCATGAACAGTTACAGAACGTAATAATGTGCATTATATCAAGAGAAATAGAATAAAAGAGGTCAAGCTTCATTCATATAGAGTCTTGGTTGGGTCTCTCTTGGAATGATCTGTGGTTCTGGATACCATACATTAGAGAGAGGGCCAGGGCAAGGTGGGGGAGTGTAGGTTTACCAGAGTGATACGTGAAATTCAAGAATTAAATTATACAGGGAGATTACATTAATTAAGATTGTATTGAGGGAATTTAAAAGGTTATGTGACGTTTTGTTTGAAGTTGTCAAGACATTAAGGAGAGCGGATTGGGTAGCTGGAGAAAAGCTAAGGGGCATAATCACAAAGTTACAGCCTCAGGATTTCAAGAGTGAAACTAGGGGGGAAAAAACAGCTTCACGCAAATAGTGGCATGAGTTTGGAACTCACGTCCACAAATGGAAATTGATGCTAAATCAACTTCTAATTTTAAAATTGAGCTCGATTAATTGCTAGCTAAAAATATCAAGGCATATAGGCCTGTTAGGCAGGTATTTGGATTTGGATGACAAATCAGTCATGATCATGTTGAATGACAGAATAAGACTGGGGGGCTGAATGGCCTCCTTCTGTACCTATGATCTAACCCTCTAACAGCCCTATACACTAATGTCGCTGCACTCTGCTCAGTAACGTGGCAGTATGGTCAATGGCTGCATCCATACTCAACATGGGGAACAAAATGCACCTTTGAAAGGGTAGGAGTACAAATTTGCCATCAGTTTAAGATTGTCTGTTTTAGCAAACGTAGGATTTGGTCCTACCTGTTTTGTTCTTCTGTAGAAGAAACCAGCATCCCTAATGACAAGTTCCTGCTGTAGGATATAAAATTGGAATAATAAGCTGGCGATGCTTCTCACCTGAAGCAGAGGAGAAGAAATCGCGCTTGGACAATAGTGCTGAGCAGGCTGCTTATTATTAATGCCATTAAACATTTGGCTCCATTGAAGTCGAAAGAATGGGATCTGAAGTGAAGCATAGGTTTCACACTGTTTTATAATACCCATTCCCACTACATTCCCTTTCCCAAGAATAATTTCTAACTGAACCACATAATTCAGTGTGACGGGTGAAAGATGTGTATTTGGAGACTTGGTTGAAGAAATTTTGTCAGCTCTCTTGAGAAGGATTTATGTGTGAAGGATTGTTTGAGAAAGTTTGTTTTATATAAAAACAAATGGGGCTGGATGACCATGAGCCTTTATACCATCTTTTCACCTGTGCGAGCTCCATTTGAACTTAAGCCAGACTAATGCAAAATCAGGTTGAGCCATTGCCACTGGATTTCTCATAGTTTTGGACAAATGCCCTAAAAGCAGTCATGGTTTTGCTGAGTGGACAATTGACATGGGAATTAAAGGGACTCTTTTTACAGTAGTGCAATAAGAATGTTTTGAGATGGGGTTTGGGGCACTTTCTGTGATCCCTGTAGAGAAGGAGGCTACTGTGAGCTAATCACAGAATGTTTCCAAAGCTAATATTTCCAAAGAATTTATTTTCCAATGAATTGTCTCATCTTGATGAGTAGAGAAGTTAACCCCCAAAATGGATCTGTACAATACAAAGTTAATTCAGTTCCATCTCCTAGGAATGTCGTGGAGATTACATACAGGTCAGCACATTATTAGTATGAGCCTGAAATTAGACTGGAGGTAGATGATGTGCTCCCTAGAGAAAGTTCTTAAACAAGATCAGTGAGATGGGGAGGTGGTGGAGTGAGCGTTCATGGCAGGAAGAGGGAAATATAAAGCTGAGGAAGAGAGAAGCCGGGGTTTCTTGGTTAGGCCAGAAATAAGAAAATAACTTCCTGAGTCTCCTCTGGTCTGCTGCCAGATTTTGCCGCTGGGTTTAGCACTTTGCAGGCCTCCTGTTCCCTCAAGTTGAACAACATGATGCAACATGATTTTAAATTAAGCCCCTCCTTGGCTAAGCTCAATCCCCCACACTGTTGGAATCCTGACAGTAAAACTGTTTGTTGGTGGTTGGCAGGGGGTGGCGGGGGGGGCGTTCCTGTCAGTAATGTGGTGCCATCATCTTAATATCCTCCTGTCACTGTCAAATGCCAGGCTTCAGACTCTATAAATTAAGCAGACAGCCACTGCTCATCCCCAGCCACGGATTACAGACATTGTTCATATCAGTCTCTGAATGTAGAACTCTTCTGCTCCTTTTGTATTAATCAATCCATTTTGAAATTTTAATTAACTTTGAGTTACCTTGGAGTATGCTTAATTGCTTTCTGCTTCAAAACAATAATGTTTTGTGATATAAACTTTATTACTTCAGAGCAGACCCTGTGCTGTTGTGTTGAAACGCGTTTGCAAAGAAAAATGAAACAAGTGCTCTTTAAATATTTACAAAGATTACTCAAATGCCTAATCATACGGCTGTCATTAAGAAGGATGTTAGAGTGAAAAGCAGCAGATTGCAGTGTGTGTGCAGTTAGAGAAAATGCCTCATTTTACTTGCTGTAAGAATGATTGTGAATAATGATCCTCTTTAAAATGCTGCTCAACAGGGACTGGGGATGAGCAGGGCACAGGCAACTGAGGTGAATCAGTGGGAGCCAGCCACGAGACTGGCAGTGATTTCTTTTCCTTAACTTGGGCCCTTGGGACGGTGGGGGAGGGGATTGGGGATTTAAATTAAGGGCACCAAGTTACTGAAAAGCTCCCTCCCTGGATCAGTTTACTTTCAGGATTCAAGTAGTGTGGAGGATTGGCCTCAAACAAGCAGAAGCTGAGTGTAAAAAATGCTGATTGTGCCACAACATGATTTTAACAGTGTTGAATCTGGCAGCAGATCAGAGGAGAGTAACAGCACTGGACGCAGTGCAGAAACCCACAGGCACAGTGGGGGCAATAGGTCTCCAGGTGGGAGTGAGCAAAGTGTGGAAGAACAGCAGAACAGACTGTACATTAAAAACAAATGAATAGAATGACTAAGAAAATAAGTAACAATCTTTAATCTAATAAAATAACTATAAAAATAACAAACAAAAGGACGTTTATATCCTTTCAAAAGGTTATTTTGAGTGTGCACATTTACCAGATAGTTCCAGGGGCATGATGGATTTTAGCTGCCGATTTTTGTTTTAGTGGGAGGCAATGGGATTGTGGTATTGTTGCTGGACTGCTAATCCAGAAACCCAGTTCATGCTGAAGGGATCCTTCTTCCAATCCTGTCACTGCAAATGGTAGAGCATTGAACTGGGGGGGGAAAAGAAATCTGGAATTAAAATTCTTCTGAAGACTATGAAACTGTTGTCAATTGTTGTTTTAAGAAATAAAATCAATCTGATTCACCAAAGTCCTTTAGGGAAGGAAATCTGCCACCCTTACCCAGCCTGGTCTACATGTGACTCCAGACACAAAGCAATGTGCTTGATCTCAACTGCTGTCTGAACTAGCCTAACAAGCCCCTCCGTTGCAACAAACAATGAAATTTAAACTAGATTGACCACCTACAATCACCTAAGTCACCAGAAATGACAACTGGAAACTCAGGCCTGTCAACCCTACAAAGACATTGTTATCAACATCTGGGGGCTAGTGCCAAAATTAGAAGAGCTGCCTCACAGAATTGAATTAACTTTATTGTCACATATACTCTGAGTACAGTGAAAAGTTTATACATCGCCACCTACAGCACCATCTTACTTACAAAGGTACCTAGGTACAGCTTCTTTAGGTACAAGATCTTAGAAAACAGAGAAATAAAATGTCCAGCATTGCAGAAACAAAAGTCCAGAACAGCAGTCTTCCAACCCATATGACGCTGGCACTGAGATGCAGTCCGCCCTGGGCCCTGGCTCCAGACTGCACCAGGCTTCACCGTGAGGAACATGAGGCTGGGAGATCGCTTCAGCCCGCTAGGCCGGGGGGCTGCCCCGCCACGCTGTGGGGAGGGGCGGGGTGGGGACGCTACGACAGTCTGGGAGTCATCCCGGGGGCCAGGAGTCGTCCCCTGGAAGAAGACACCAAGAAGAAGAATGGGTGGAGCGGATGAATTCCTCTGCCGCCATCTTGCACTGGACTAGTCAAGCAGCAGCCCAACATAGGTACGCTGTCAGAATTGTACCTACTGACCACGTCCCAGATACCAGTACCACCATCCCTGGCTATGTCCTGTCCCACCAGCAAGGTAGACCCAGCAGAGGTGGCAGCACAGTGCTATACAGTTGGGAGGCAGCTGCCCTGGGAGTCCTCCGTAATTGACTCTGGACACTATGAAGATTCATGGCACTGGGTCCAACGTGGACAGGGACATCTCCTGATTCTCACGTACCAGATCCCTTCAGCTGATGAATCAGTGCTGTTCCATGTTGACTAGCACTTGGAGGAAGCAATGAGGGAGGCAAGGATAGGGACTGTACAGTACTCTTGGCAGGGGATTTCAATACTACCAGGAGATGCTCAGTAATAGTACTACTGATTGAGCTGGTGGAGTCTGCGTCAGGTGGTGAAGGAACCAACAGGAGGGACATACTTGACCTCATCCTTACCAATCTGCAAGATGCCGATGCATCTGCTTGTGACAGTAAGAGTGGCCACTGCACAGTCCTTGTGGAGATGAAGTCACACTTTTACATTGAGAATATCCTCCATCGTGTTGTGTGGCACTGTCTCTAAATGGGACAGACTTCAAGCAGATCAAGCAACTCCTGACTGTGCAGCCGTGAGGCGCTCTGGGTCATCAACAGCAGCAGAATTGCACTCCAACACAATCTGCAACCTCATGACACAGCAATGCGCCACTCAACCAATTCTACCAAGCCAGGGGATCAACCCGGGTTCAATGCTGAGTGCAGGAGGGCATGCCAGGAGCAGCACCAGGCATACCAAAAAATGAGATGTCAACCTGGTTACAAATCAGGTCTACTTTTGTGTCAAGCAGCAAATGATAGACCGAGGCAAGCAATCCCATAAGCAAGGGATCAGGTCTAAGCTGTGCAAGACAGTCATGCCAGTCATGAATGCTGGTGGGCATTTAAACAAGTCACTGGAGAAGGAGGCTGCACAATAGCCCCATCCTCCGTGATGGGAGAGTGCAGCACATCAGTGCAAAAGGTAAGGCAGAAGCATTCACAACAGTCTTCAGCCAGAAATGCTGAATAAAAAAGAAACCTACTATTTAAATGCTGAGAGAGATTGCAGAGCTCAGAGATGTAGAGGGCTCTGGCTGTTTTGGAATATAACACAAGAACTAGGCAAAGTAAACCATTCTGCCCTCAAACTGTCATGTATTCAACAAGATTTTGGCTGATGCACCCCAGGCCTCAACTCCTCTTCTGTGCCAGATCATCATAGCTCTCAACTCCCTGATATTTCAAACGTCTATCTACCTCTTCTTTAAATACTTTGTGACCTAACCTTGAAAACACTCTCGGGTTGAAAATTCCAGAAATTTACGAACTACTGGGAAAAGAAATTCCTTTGCATCTCTGTTTTAAATGAGTGTTCCCGATTTTGGTAACTATGTCCCCTAATTCAAGACTTCCTCACAGGTGGAACCACCTCAACATCTACCCTGCCAAGTCCCCTCAGAATCTTGTATGTTACAGTAACAGCTTCCCTCCTTCTAAACTCTGATGAATAAACGTCTTGCTTTATCAGCCATTCTTGATAAGGCAGTCCCTTCATCCCAAGCATCAACCAGGTGAATCTCTCTTTTGACCAATCTCCAATGGCAGTACATTCTTTTTTTTTAAATAATGGGGACTAAAATTGTACACAGTACTCCATGTGCAGCCTCACCGACACTCTGTGCAGTTGTAACAAGTATTCACTAATGTTAAACTCCAGCCCCCTAGAAACAACAGTCAAAATTCAATCTGCCTTCATAATTTGCTGTGTGATAACTTTTAATGTTCATGCACAAGAACACCCAGATCCCTCAAGGTTGCACTTTTTTGGAGCTTGCCTCCATTTAAATAATACTTTGCACTTTGATGCTTCCTACCAAAGTGCTTGACCTCACACTTACCTACATTAAACTCCACCTGCCAAGATTATGCCCACTCACTGAACCTATCTGTGTCTTGATTCTGTATGTACTTATCAGAACATGCCTTCCCACCAATTTTTATAATCATTAACAAACTTGGATACATTGCACTGTGCCCTCCTCTCCCAAATCATTGATATAGGTAGTAAATAATTAAGGTCCTAGGACTGATCCTGTAGCACTGCACTAGCTACATATTTCCAACCTGAAAAACATCAATTAGTCCGAACTCTCCACCTTCTGTGTTAACTAATCCTCAATCCATGCTAAGACATTATGCCCAATATTGTAAACTCCTATCCTGTGTAAAACCTTTGTTGTGGTACCTTCTGGAAATCAAATACAGTACATATTACCAGTTCCCTTTATCTACTGTGCTTGTTTAATCTTCAAAGAACTTTGATACACAAATTAGTGATGGGCTCCTAGGGAATACTGAGGAACAAAGTGTCCTTGATGTCCATAGATTCCTAAAGGTGTCTGCACGGGTACGCAGGGTTGTGAAGAAGGCATACACAATGCTTGCCTTCATTGGCCAGGATATAGAATATAGAAGTAAGGGAGTCTTGTTGCAACTTTGTAAAACATTGATTAGGCTGTAGATAGAATACTGTGTGTAGTTCCGGCCACCACACTTTTGGAAGGGTGTAATTGCACTGGAGAGAGTGCAGTGGAGATTCATCAGGATGTTGCCAGGAATAGAAGGTCTCAGTTATGAGGAGAGCCTGGATAGGCTGGGTTTGTCTTCCCTGGAGCAGAGGAGACTGATGGAGGATCTGATTGAGATGTGGTTTGAGTCCTCAGTTGTTCTCCCTCAAACTGTGTTTGAAGTTCTTCCATGATCAATATGATCACTAGCCCCCAGATGATCCTTAATTTCAAGATCTCTTATTAATCTTACCTCATTTATACATACTATATCTAAAACGGCCTGGTCCTAGGTAGGTTGTGTAACATACCGCTCTAAAAACAATCCCTGATGCTCTGTACAAATTTGTCTTCCATTTTGCCCTTGCCCATCTAATTTGTCCGGTCGATATGCAGATTAAAATCACCCATGACAATTGTAATGTTGTTCTTACAAGTCTCCAATATTTGCAGATTTATACCTTATAAAGAGACTCTCTGGGAATCAGAAACAATACCCACTCATGACTTCTTTCTCTTGCTATTCCTTATTTCCACTCAAGCATATTCCACATACCAATCTACTGCCTCAAATCAGCACTCAGCACTGCATTAATACCATCCTCTATTAACAATGCTACCCGACCTCTTTTTCCTTTTTGACTATTTTTCTGGAACACAAGTCTTTTTAAATATTGAGTTCTCAATCCTGGTCAGCCTGCAACCACTTCTGTGCAATAGCTATCAGGTCATGTACCTTTATTTCTGTTTGTGCTGTCAACTGATCCATCCTCTGACATAAGATGTGTGCATTCAGATACAGAACCTTAAGGTTTAAATTTTTACCATTGTTATTTATTCTGGTTCTAATTTATGCTACACCCTTCTGCTTATGTTTTCTACCCTTCCTGTTACTCTGACTATTGTTCACCTTTTCACTATCCTTCACCTCTGCTCCCCCCTTTCTTTGTGATTTTTGAAAGTTCCTTCAAGTCATCCAACTAAATAGCTATACAATTCGCCAGGATGCTGGTCCCAGCATGGTTTAAATGAAGCTCATTCCAACAGGACTGCTGCCAGTGCCCCATGGATTAGAATCCATTTCTCCCATTCCAATGTTTGGACTACACAGTTACGTCTCTAATCTTATTTACAAAACACCAATTTGCACTTGACCCGGGTAGTAATCCCATGATTACCCTAGTGGTTCTGACTTTTAATTTAGTCTTAGTCTGCTCTTATTCCCTCAGCAGAAGCCCTTTCCTAGTCGTAACTACCTCATTGGTACCTGTCTGGACCATGACAACTGCATCCTTCGTCTAAAACCATAAGATGTAGCAGCAGAAGTAGGCCATTCAGTCCATCAAGTCTGCTCTGCCATTCATATCTGGTCTAATAATCCTCAGCTTCACTTTCCTGCCTTTTCCCTATAACTCTTGATTCCCTTGCTGATATCTTCACCTACCAGTCAGTATACCTCTGCTGTTCAGAAGAGGTGTCCTGAACCTTGGCATCGAAGCCTTTGGGTCTCTCTGTCTTTACAGAGAATATTATCCCTATAGAGTCTATCCCTTAT